GGTCCCTATTGTGGTTGTTAAGCAGAGCAGTTTCCATGCAGAGAAAGCAGAGCCAAGCAGGGCCTGGAGAATGGGGCCCTGGAGCAGAACAAAGGGGTCCCTGTAGATGTCAGTGTCTGAGCTGCTGCTGGCGGCTCCAGGACCCCCCACCTCCTCTGGCTACGTTCAGGCTTGGCTCCCCCTCCCCAAAAGCTCAGGCGTGCTGACTTTGGTCCTCAGCATCTCGGAGCGAGACTCTTTGCAGAAGACTCGGGAGCTGCTGCTGCCGGTGGTCGGGGCAAGAGCGGTGGGGAAGGGATGGCGTGGCGGGTTGGGTCCGGGTCGGGTTGGCAGCTTCCCATTTCAGCCCCCCCCCAGGCTAAGACGCCCTGTGGCTTGTTTGGCTTGGGTTGGAAATCATGGCTTATGAATCTAGCCACTGTGGTTTATTAAGTTGTTCGTTCAAGTAGCCATGAATGATCTTGGGGTGGGGTCTCTCTCACACACACGCAGATGCTGAACTCACTCATTGCACTAGCCCGTAACATGCTTTGTTTGATTTTGGCTTCCATGTTGGGCGATGCCAGCCTAGGAAGGCTTATCCAGCCAACCATGATTAAGCAAGCCACAGTTCAATGCTCCCAGCTTCCTCTCCCCCGCCAACAGATGCATTACAGAGGCCGTTTCTTCTGAATAACCAGTATATTTTCCTGGGAGGGGCTTCTGGCTGGGCTCCCGTTTGCTGCTTTCTTCCAAATGGAGAAAATTCAACAGCAGCGGACATTTTTGCATTATTGCAGCAGCAAAATTAAAATGCACGCGTGGGCACGCGCGCGCCCAACAGCAGCCTTGGCTCCAGTGCCTTGGCACACTGCCAGTTTCGCAATCAGCAGAAAGGACTGGTGCAGAGTGCGCACGCGTGCACGAATGCGTGCAGAAAGCCCAGCGGTCCATCTCCAGATGAATATTAAAAAAAATCACATGCCTTTGAGGGGCACCATTCTGCCACCCACCCACCCCGAAGCGGCTCTCCTGCGTTTGCTTGACTATAAGGCAAATCCACACAGCTTGCAGCCGTTTGTGTTGGGCCACATCGAAAGCGCCACCACAGCCGTCGATGCTCAGGCCAGCAGCCCCTTCGGGTCAGAGGTGGCGCCTCCTTGTTTGGGTCGGAGGGGGCCTCCTGACTGGGCCAGCTGGTGTCCTGTTTGGCCCCTCTTCTGACCCATGGGGGGTCTTAGAAGAGGGCCTATCCTGGGACGGAAGGGTCTTGCCAGGGCCGGAGAAAGGCCCACTGATGCCAACAACGGTGCCCTTGGCCCTTCCACTGCTTACTCGACAAGACTCGGGTAAGGTGAGTGAGCGGCAAGATGGTGCCCTAAGCATGTGCTGCTTTTGCTCAACAGCTAATCCGGGGCTGGGCCCAGCGAGGACCAGCCGGGACTTTCTCCCATCGGCCAAACACCTTTTCAGCAAAAACGGAAGAAGGGGCTGCCCCTTCTCTGCCCCACGGACAGGCTGCCTCCCTCCACTTGCCAAGTCTGTTAACTGGCAGCCAGTACGGAGGCCAGTTGGGTGGGAAGCGAGCCACCTTCTGTGGCGTTTCCGAATCACTGAACGGCTGGAGCAGGAGTGCCCTCGCCCGCAGGATGGACAGTCCCGGCACGGCTCCTCTGCCTCTGCCGAGGCAGCGGAAAGGCCCGAGGGGGCTTGCCCGGGAGAGGGAAATCGCGGGGAACCCCGTGGAAGGACACCCAGGGCTGTGGCTGGAGGGGACGGGCGATGCTCTGCTCTGCTCTGCTCCTGAAAACTGGAACTTCAGCCCTGAAGATCGTTACGCAGAGCGCTCTTTTAAAAACCAGAGACCACTAAGCCGGCTTTCCTGTTTCCCCGTTGAAAAACCTTAATTGTTCACATCACTAAATGGGAAATAAGGCGTTCGTTCTAATGGAAGTTTGCAGCTTGTTTACAATTTGCAATATTAGTTTTCACACCTACCCCCCCATATAAATAGACACATCAAAGACGGTTTGCAGTCTAAACAATGGCTGTGTTTGCCTAACCTATCTGACCACCATTAACTCAGTTGAGGCACTTTTAGGAGTTTGCGGGACACGCTGAACAGTCAGCTGAAGCGCACCTGTGAGGTTCCCGCCACTTGCTTCAGTGTGGTTGGCTAATTTGCACTTCTGGGTGTTGCTCGAATGCAGCCAGTATATGGAAAAGGAATGCAAAATGATTAAAAAAGGGTCTGGCGGTTGACAAATCGCTTCCAGAGGAGGAGGAGGAATGGGTCAAGGAGCTGAACCCGCATAGCTTGCAAAGAGAGTTGAGGTTTGCCCAGATCGGCACACATGGAAAGGGCTGGCATGTGCAAAAGAGCATACCTGTCCTCTGCTGAAACACAGAGGGACAGAGCAAGGACCAGGGGGCTGGACTGCAAAAAAAGAGAGATTTATTGACAACAAGAGTTCTTAAGCAGCAGAGCCAACTGGCCAGACTGATGGCGGAAAGTTGCCAAGCATGCTGGCTGGGGAATTCTGGGAGTTGAAGTCCACCCATGTTAAGCTTTGCCAAGGTTGCCAAACCCTGCTCTGGCTCGGCTTGTCTTCCTTCCCTGGCTCTGCGTATGAAGCCAGCCATAGCCAGAGACCATGAAGTTAGCAGCTGAGCAACTCAAGGCTTCCTGGGAAAACACACATCCTCTCAGAAACGGCAAACCAGTTCTGGCTTCCTTTGGAGCCACGAGGACTAGAAGCTCGACTTTTATTCTTGAATATAGCCCACCCACTCACCCACCCATATTGCAATCAGACATTGTGAAGGCAGAAGCCTCGACCTAGATTAATGATGATTTCTTCTTCCAAGTCTTCGCTTGACCTCCAGGCTAACGAAACATCTTCCCGGTCACCTGGAGGCCGTCTGGTGTCCCAGGCACCGGACACCCCCCTCCCAGCTGAAATCTGTGGGGCAAACCAAGCCGGAGCATCAGGGAGGGAGGAAAAAAGAAGAGAACTGGGGCCGGTTCTCCAAGGCAGGCCAGAATGCTGGTCTGTCAAAAGATTAGACCTGACAGTTTTTCGGGAGCGCTGAGTACTTTGGCCTGCTCAATTATTAATAAATATACCAACTTAACGGGTTCCCATGAATAATAGATTCGCATCGGAAGGCCAGACAGTCAAAGAAAACCCAAGAACAACACAGTTGGATATTTCTGCCCAAAGTGTGAAAGCAGATTCATTCATTTTAATACAATCCCCCCCCCCTTTTTAATGGATTTAGTTTTGCAGAGGAAGTCGAACAGCTGCTGCGAAAGTGGTGGGCAGGTACGGAGGACCCTCCCCAGGGAAGGCTTCCAGCAGAACCACAGGATCAGCAGCTGGTGCATCAGACCGGTTTGCAAAATCAGCGTGCTTGAGAAAGAGGAGCTGGCGCAGGACTGGGAAAAGTCACAAACTCTCCAGATACCAAAAAGGGGACGGCTGAGGCCCTGGGTTCAACCCCCAGCATCTCGAGTTTCTCCTTCGGGAGGAGATGGGAAAGATCGTCCTCCGCCCGGGGCCCTGGCTAATCAGGGATGGAGTTGCGCTGGAGATTATAGAAAATTCGTATAGTACGTAAACTGACCCCGTAACATCTACATAGAGCAGGGTTTCTCAACCTTGGCAACTTGAAGATGGGTGGACCAACTCCCAGAATTCCCCAGCCAGCCTGCTTTTAAGATGGGTGGACTTCAACTCCCAGAATTCCCCAGCCAGCCTGCTTTTAAGATGGGTGGACTTCAACTCCCAGAATTCCCCAGCCAGCCTGCTTAAAGGCTGTGTCGTAG